GTCAACTCACTTTGAAATAGTTTATGGAATCCTAATATACTTGAAAGGTACTCTAGGAAAGGGCATGCGGTTTAAGAAGCATGGTCACCTATATGTTGAAGTATACACTGATGCTAATTGAGCAGGCAACATCACAAATAGAAGATTTACTTCTGTTATTGCTCTTTTGTTGAAGGGAATATAGCTACCTAGTGCATAAACAAAGTGCGGTAGAGTTAAAGTAGTGTTTAAGGCGTAAGTCCATGGAATTTGTGGGGGTATATGGATAAATAGACTATTGGAAGAATTGAAATTCCCTCAGATGACGTTCATGCTTAGACAACAAGCCTGTAATTTCCATTGTCCACTATCTTGTCTTTCGAGATAGAACAAATCATATCAAGGTTGATAAACACTTCATAAAGGAGAAAAATGATAAAAACGATGTTGGAGTAATATATATTCTCCATCTTCCGTCAACAAATCAAATCATTGATGTCTTAACTAAAAAAGACTACCAAAAAATTACAATTCATCAAACTGAACGACAAGCTTGCTAAGAAAGTTATCTTCAAACCAACTTGAGGGGAGTCTTGATTATTTTCTTTTGTGTAAATTAGAAATTTGGTATTTATTGTATTATATTTTCTGAAATTTTATCTATTTGTAAGGAGTGTTTCCTCTATTTGTGAAACTTTATACTTAAAGAAAATAAGAAAAAAATTGTAATTCCTTCTTGATATTTTGAGCAGACTCCAATCCAATAAATAAAGTCTAATAGATAATTGCAGAAGATCTAGTCACTAAGGTCCAACCAAGGCATTAAACCTAATAATCTCCCACAACTCCCCACCGGTCTCTCACTCCCTCTAAAATTATATGATTACTCTCAATTCAAATCTCCAAACAACCGTGAAGAAACAAACTTGCCAAAGGATTTTGCTCCTCACTTAAAGGATGAAGAAGCAAAACCTTCTCCATTATGGGTCACAGACCCATTTATTAAAACATCACATACTTGAATGTTTTTCACAATATGATTATTTTCAAGCAAAAAAAAAAAAAATGTAAATAAAATGTTTTCATTTACATTTAAGATGATACAATATGAACGAAGTGAAAGTACATGCAATTTCAATGATCGTAAAAGTAACTGAAGTTGATTACAATTTTCTACACATGCAATGCCTGCTAATAAATATTTAAAAGAAAATCTGAAACCAAAAAACTATTCAGTATATAATATGAAAATTCAGGATCCAATGTGTTAATAAATTACAAATACACGTTAAAAAAAACAAGAAAAATGAGTTTTCCGTACAAAACTTATTGCTCTAGAGTAAATTCTGTTTATGTTCATGTGCTATATCAAAAAAATAAATAGAAATTGTAAAAGAAATATAAAAACCTTGGTTTGAGTGTCCAACCAATTGTACGTGTGGGAGTATTTAGTAGCATATGCAAACAAATTAATAGAATTGAAGTGTTTAGGCTTTATAGGATACAACGGGCAGATGGTTAAGTCAAGAGGTAGAGAGTAGGCCTTAAAACAGAATCACATAAGTGCATTCTATAATGTAAAAGGAACACTCACTGATCCAGCATCCAATAGCTACGTCTCTGGAAATTGGGATTGTGCTCTCCATGTGCATAATAGCAATTTAACGCTTCAGCATTTCCAACCTAACCGTGCAGAATAATCCCGACCAGAGCAATCAGTCAGAAAACTTTGTTGATCTCAAAAGATCTAAAGCAGACAGATCAGTGGGTTGGGTAGTATAGCACTCGAGGTGATGGAAAATTTATATCACATAAGCCATTGAATAAGTTTTAGTTGCCTATAGCATGAAATCCAGCAAAGTTGATGTTGAACTAACCACATCCAAGGCTTATAATATTTTCCCCATACGACAACTCTAACCAGCTTGAAATTACATCTTAAAGTTCATTTTCTACGCTCAATTTCTTGGGCTTCACCATTGTAGCGTTTCATTAGTCCTGGAATCAAAACTATGTTACCATAGTATGTTCCATGCAGACATGTAGTCCTGGCCATCATTTCGTTTAATCTACTTATTTCAATGATTGCCAGTTCTTATATTTGGCAGTTTGCATGCAAAGTTTTCAAAAATTTAATGCTAAAAACACTAACAAGTGTAGGCATTACAGCATATTCCACCCATACGCATAGGTAGAGGAGGGTTGAAGGGTATCTGCGTGTGTGCGATAGTTAGCTAACTCACATATCAAACATTTGGCTCAATTTTACATAAATATAACAAGCGAGTTAAACGCTCCCTTAATTTTTATGATTATTTTTCAGTTAGCACCATTGTTAGAAAACTCATTTAGGTTGGCTTCTCCCCACCACACTACACCCGCCCTTTTTTTTTTTTGTCTCTTCTAAGCAAAATCTATCCTTTCTATTAGGGAGGGCAAACAAACTCAAAAACCATGCCGTGGTATATTATTGCAGCAGATGGAAAAGTTAATAGGAAAATGAGTTAAATGGAGTTGAAGCATGATACAAAACCTTAAGTCGTTCGTGTGCTTCTCCAACAGTTCTTCCGTCCCTTTTTTTCCTCCAGTTATGACCATCTCTACGGAAGAAACGGAGTACTCTCTTGTTAAAAAGAAACAAGGAACCACCTGTTGCAACTCTATTGTTCAATAATTATCCAAACGGTATAAAACAACTCGCTAGCACGATATGCCATCAAAATTCATTCCAAAGAAACATAATAGTGAATAAGGGTTACTTACTAGTTGGCTGTTTAGGGGCCTCCTCAGTCAGCTGATACTTCTCATGATTCTGTAAGATAAATAGCACCTCAGGAGGCTTCAGCCAACGTGTTTGTGCTTCTCGATAAAGGTCACGAACATCATATCCTGAGACGATGATAAGAAAAGGCTTTCAAATTTCAGTTCAGTTCCCAAGTTAGCTTGAATGTAGTGCCAAAAATGCAAAGCCTGACACGAGTTCGGAGATCATGCTTGAGATGAATTTTCTAAGTTAATTGGGCTACACATTACATTCATCAAACACAAAAGAACGATGTCCTGAAGAAAAACCTTAGCCGTCTAGTTGTGCAGACAACGTTTTCCTTCGTATTATGAATCTCATCAGACACATGCTCAATAAGAAGAAAGAAAACTTCTCTAATCTTCTGTAGTTATTTTGCGGATGATAGACATGTACTACGATCGAAGTACACGCAAGAAAAAATATATATATAAAAAAGAAGTAGGACTTAACGAAGCTGCTGAAAATATATTGCCTTAAATTAACATAAAGAGCAACACCGTTTCTTTCAAGTTTCCTAAAATCCTTAATTTTAATTCAAATACAAGCCCATTCCCAGTAGCTCAAGGGTTGATTTTAGATAAACACGTGACTTCATCAACAACTCACAGCCGCCTCTACACTGAATCAACACGAAACAGCTCAGGTTATGTCACTAGAACTGAAATATGATCTAGCTCTTCATCAAACGCGGACCAATCATCCCCAATAACCTTCCACCGTACAACGGTTACACTTGGCGGCAAACACTTCTGATACTAGTTAAAATCACATTCCGCTAAACTTCCTCAATCAATAAGCAGAAATTCACGTCGACATCAGGAAAAATATGAACTCCATTGAAAACCCAAAAAGAAAAAGGAAAAACTGCCAACTCCATTACTTACCGTCGTTCATCATGTACAGATCGCATCAGCTCTTTCAACGAGAAGAAATGAGAGAAAACATTTCAGATTCCTACCGAATTGCAGAGAAGAGATTCAACTTGCCCTTTTGCAGCAGGAGCACGACTGTTCCGAGTTGTGAGACAGCAGAGAGGGGGAGAGAGAGAGAGAGAGAGAGAGAGAGAGAGAGAGAGAGAGAGATCAGAAATAAGATTTCGCCGGCGGTGTCAAAGCCGGATCACCGCGGAGCTGAAAATGGGAAATGGAGAATTGACTTCCACATTCAACAGATGGATCTTCCATGTGCCAGTCTTCTTGTGCACTTCGATTTCGCGTACACGAAAAAACGAAAATGGACAGAAGCCTGCAATCGGAATTAGAAATTTGGAATTTTTTTTTTTACTCGAATCCTCTCATCCATTTTCTATTGATCTAAAAGAAATCTTCAAATTAGAGTTAAAATATAACTATAAAAATAAACTTGAAAATAACTAATTATTGTAGTTCAACCAAAGAAAACAAATATATTATGAATTTATTTTTTCGATATATATAATATATATATTAGTTATTTATTTGCCAGATAAATTATTAAATCCAAATCTATTAGCAATTATAAGACATTTTCTTATTAAATAATTTTTCTACGTTGAAAATAGAAATGAAAAGAGGAGAAAGTCGGTGAGTAGGGTATTTTCGTCCTTTCGAAGAGAAATTGGGGCCGTTCGAGCATATGCAAATTGGCAGCAGATAAAGACGACAAATGTCACAGCGCAGTGTGCTCGACGAAATTAATTAATGAAAAATAAATAACAATAACAAATTCGTTTTCCCTCTGGAAATAGACAACAAATTCGTTTTTTCTTTTTTTTCTTCTTTCTTTTTAATCAGAATGCACGCAGAAATAATAACGGGATCCACTTCATAGTACGACAGTTGTAATTTTAAATTATAATTTCTCTTTTTTTTCCCTATTTCTAAATATCTTAAGGAAATTTTAACCAAAATTTTAAATCCAAGCTAATCGTTTAATAACTACGATTTTAATTTCTTTTTGGATTTTCAGTAATGTACTTGCTTAAAATGACTGAGGTCGATTTGAATTTGTCGGTAACAAAAAAAAAAAAAAAAAAAAAAAAAAAAAAAAAAAAAAAAAAAAAAAAAAAAAAAAAAAAAAAAAAAAAAAAAAAGTAATTTTCAAAAAAATCATTTTTTAAAGCATTTCTCTTATATAAAAACGGTTTCAAATTTAAACACTCCTGATATATATTGTAGACTCTACACCACTATTCAACAAGTCAACAAGTGTTCCCTTGCCATTGTCCTAAACAATATTAGAAAACAATGAGATTCATCACTATTCAACAAGTCAACAAGTGTTCTCTTGTCATTGTCCCGAACAATATTAGAAATGAGATTTGAATATTAAATTACTGCTCAACACATAAAACATATATCATAAAACAAATATCATGACTGTTGAAACCTAAATTCATGATTGTTGTTGAACTCTACCTTCATTTCTAGACACGGTTGCATGCATAATAATTCTTGCTCGCATACATCATGCACGTGGACTCACTAAGCATGTCCATTGATGCACCCCCAAGTTACTATGGTTATGCACGCTCACACTGTTGAAATTAATAGAAAGATAAGAATGTAAATATTGTTGTGAGTATACACATCTATACAATACATAACCATAGAAATAATCAATGATTACACAAGGTCGTACATTTTAAACCATTAGTAAAGTGATATGATGCACCGTAACATTTTTATACATTCAATGACTTCATAATACTTGATCAACATTTTAGCTCATGGTATTTTGTATAACATATACCTAATCACGTTCAAGGTATCACATATAACATATGCATAATCATATAAAGTCAGGATCAGGATCATGAACATAAATCACATACAACATACAAAATCATTCAAACGGATAATACTACCATGTGTTATTCAAGCATCAAATTACTCGGTTCAACTTTTTTGAATTCTTAGTCTCTGGCTATAGAAAGCAAGTACTTGAGAACCTAAAATAGGAAGCAGGGTAAGGCAAGTTATTCTCAAATAAGCACATGGGATTACCCAAAATGGGTCATCGGAGGAAAATGAATCAAAGGATCTCCACTGCTCCAAGCCTCCGCCCCATATTCCCCTTTCTTCCCACCAAAGTTTCCCTCTCTCTCTCTCTCTCTCTCTCTCTCTCTCTCTCTCTGTATATATATATATAAAGCTCTATTACTTGACGTAAATCAAACAGTTTCTGACGGAAGCAAAGAAAAAAACAAAGAAGAGTGATGGCTGATTGGGGGCCGGTTTTTGTAGCTGTGATTCTGTTTGTTTTGCTAACTCCAGGTCTGCTGTTTCAGCTTCCTGGCAACCGCAGGTGCTTGGAGTTCGGCAACTTTCACACCAGTGCTGCTGCTATCATCGTTCATTCAGTTCTCTACTTCGGTCTCATTTGCGTCTTCTTGCTTGCCATCAAGGTTCATCTCTATATTGGTTCCTAATTCTTCCCCGATGCAAACACTCACCCCTCCAGGATCACCTCTACATTGGTTCCTAAATCTTCCCCCCTGATGCGACATTTCTTGTTTGTTTCTAATTCTCTAATGTGATGTTATTTGAGTAATTAGTTTTCTTTTCCGTCGATGTCCTACAGTTTTCCATGTGTGTGAGCCAAATATCGATCTTGGTGTAACATATAGGTGATTTTATCAATTCAAAGCTACGATGATCTTGAGACTGTGTTGACAAGGATTGTTTTTTTATTTTTCTTTTTCCTTTTTTCCTCCCATTTTTTTTTTATTGCCCAACAGGCATTTCAAACCGTGGCAGTTACATACGATCAAAAGACTAGAAAACAATGGAAGAAATGAACTGAAACAATCTCAAAAGTAGGAAGATTCTAACACAATGTTACTCCCACAACTTCAAAAACAACAAACTGTGGTCAATAATTCAAACCTCGTCTTGCCTAAATATTTCTAGAGGCAGCACCATTCACATTAACGAGGGCATCTTTACTCATATTCTCCTGTAAGCCCCGCGTGCTCCATCCTAAATAATTTAACCTTCTGGTTGAACCAAAGCCACTTCATATTTACATTTGTTCCCAAGCTGCAGCAACAATAATAACAAATAAACAAAGTTAATAAACAAGAGCATGCCACAAAATGATCAAATTTATCGATACTGCAAAAAATTGCTTAAAACTTGAAACAATAGCTATATGCTGCAACCTCTATTCAAAAGCAGGCTTCCGACACAGAGCAGATACATAGAATTCAGTTGGCGCTACGAGAAAACCCAATCTAATCCCTCCAAACTCCAAATAACAGAGATGAATACCAATTATAAGAATTCAAGTATCAGAAATCCAAAAAATTCATGTACAAGAAGTCCTACAAATTCAAGCATGCTGAACGTGTATGCACACAAAACACCCAAATTCAAAAAAAAAAAAATTAAGCATTCTTATACTTGGCGTCTACATGGAATTTGAATGCGTCGATGGAAGTATGAGAAAATAATTACCAAGATATCATATAGGCAATACAGCATTAATATTCTTGCATTTGATAAAGTACTTGCCTAGCTAAAATTTCCTTTAAATTCTTCCTGTAATATGGCAAATGACTCGTTCACTAGTGTCATTGTACAAGGTAGTAACGAATCTGGCACAACCAGAAACAGAAGCCTAAGAAAATTCAGATTTATACATGTGTGCGTATTGATATAGCCAACCTTCGTTAACAAAATTCAAACTACAAAATCAAGAGAGCAAACATTAAAAGACAAGAAAATTCTGACGTTACCGAACAAGATATAGCCAGATATTCCTCTTCTACTCTCTTTTTTCTAATATTGGGGGTATCTAAATCCACTCCTTGCATTACACTCACGGCCCACCTCATTAATTCACGTGTAGCTACAATAGACATCAAGGCTTATCATATGTTAACCCACAGATCAAAGTCGCTATCCCCATCCTAACCATTACCACACCGCCTTACCAAATCTCACAATCCTTTGAAAATTTTTAACACATACACAAACATGTGTTTATATTGACTATATAACAACTTCCATAGAGAAAATTCAGGTAACAAAGCATACAAAACGAAGTAAACATCAATTATTGACAAGATACTTCGCAAGGCAATGGGCAAATAGATACGAATTTTGCATAAGAAAAGGCAGAAGCCTTGAGAAAATTCAGACGTACAGATAATATGCATATATTAGTGAAATCAAACTTCAAGCAACAAGATTCAGATACGGAAATGAAGCAAAAACCAAATCTAATAAACACAAGGAAACAGAGGCAGAAAAGAAACTCGCCATGAAAATCTTTCCGGGGTGTTGGAGCTGTGAAACAACAAAGTATAGAGCGTCCCAACATAGAGACGCTAGAAACGATCCCAACCATGTAGAAAATCATAACGAAAACGAGAATCCAGGGCATCAACATGAAGCCAAGGAAGAAGGTAACCGATCCACAGAGCATCAAAGCCAGCGAAATCCCCAAAAGCAGCGCCACGAATCCAGTCGGTGACATCTGGGACGAAGGAAAAGTTATCGAGGAAGACGAAATAGCGGAAGATAATTCCAGCACATGATCTGCAAATGGCACCGGCGGGGGCGGCGATCGGAGAATTTTCAAAAGCAGAGACGAAATCTCGTGCAAAAATCCAGATTGGGGATCTTGTTGAGGCCTACTCATCGTCATCCTCTGCTCAGAAGCAACCACAAAGACCCCAGCAAAGAGCGCAACAAACAATCTACGGAGGTCGTCGCTAGAACCGAGGCGAATGGATAATCGTAAATGATGATGAGGGTCAGCCAACCAACGAACGACCAGAAGGGATGAATGGGGGGAAATGGCAGAGAGTTTGGTGAGATGTGGATAAGTGTGAAGAGTGTGTGTGGAGAGAGTTGGATTACCGAGAAGAATGAATAGTAAAATGAGAGAGAAGTCGGCGTGAAACGGTGTGGCGAAGGGAATCGGAGTTCGAATCGAATGGAATATGGATTTTTCTGTGGATTTGTCTTTTTGAATGGAGACACAGGGAAGATAAAACAGAGAGAAAACCTATCCCCAACGAGAGAATCGAGGAAGCTAAATGTGGCGGGAGAGTAGGTGGTCATGCGGGATCCAGAAACGTCCGACACTTGTTACAAATTTATTATTGAGGTACGTGAAAGTCAAATGTGAGTACCCTACTCATATTTTGTCATTACTAATTGGCACTGTCTGTGAAAAAGAAAAAGGGTTATGCTTGAGACTTGCACATCCAGTTCGCCGCCCAACATCGACTTCCATGAAGATGATTTTGAGTAAGACCATCGTGTTGGAAATGAATGTAGCAAACTCGAGAGCCAATTTATGATTTTTGAAAGTCGAGTATTGGAGAGGAATAAATAATCAGAAGAGATGGAAAAAAGAAAGAGGCCTTAAAATTGAAAGGTTAAAATAGACCTTTTTATGGAAAGGAGAAGGGATCTGTCAGAGAAAAAGCTGAGCGTTTGTCTTACTTAAAACAGAAAATTGAGTCTCGCGCAAAAAGAAATTCGGAATGCGTTTTTGGCGTTTGCGCTTTTCATATTCATTTCGGTTTCTCTGCGTCTCTCTCCTCCGCTTTGGCATCCTTCTATTGGTCGCCCAAATCGTCTCGCCCTTGCGGCTGCGGTTGCGGTGCTTTTTGTTTTACTCAATGCCTCCTCCATTGGCCATCGCGCAAAAACAACTCAGCAGATCATGCATCAGATCAATCTTTCGGTGAGGCGATCTCGTTCTCAAACTCTATATCTACCGCTCAGATTATGAATTCTGATGCAATGCGGTTCGTGTTCGATTGATCGATCGATCGATGGCGGTGAATTCGAAGGCTGTGCTTGGCTCGATCTGTAAAAATATAAAAATATTAGTACGATGAGCTAGATCGGTGGAAGGATGGTAAACTGCTCCTTCTGCTGCATGTGATCTGATTTTCGTTGGAGAGCATGGTATCTCGATGATCCAGGTAATGATTGATGTTTAGTTTGATTATATATATTGCTACTCTTTTTTGTGATTCCACTTTGTCGACTCGTTAATAATAAACTTGCTTTCTCGATTACCTAGAGATCTGATGGTTTAAATCTTGGCGTTTCGCCGGGCTGGTGACATGCGTCGCCGCCGGCATCTGAACGGTAAAACAGTAGTAAAGATAATCTTGAGAAAATCGAGCTTGAATATTGATTTTTCATTTTTAGATGCCCATTTGCGGTTATGGAGCTCGCTTGCGTGTCCCATATGTGCATTTTTTATTTATTTTTCCAGTATCTATCGTTGACATAGGAGTAAATATGATTTTATTTTTCCATTTTTTTACGATCGTCGTGTTCAACGTGAGCCGCACAGGGTTGGTTTGTCGAATATACGTTTATTTTAAGATGTATTACTGATTATTTTATTAAAACGTAAGCTCTGACATTGGATTTGTTCATTTTCTTTTTTTCAAGAGTATTTCAACGCCTTCTACCTCCTCTTCTTTCATTCTTTAAATTGTTTGTGGCTCTTTTTAATGGTTTTATCGATCACCAATCTTCTTCCCACACTTTTGAGGGAGCATCCAGAAAATTCTTCCTTAACATTGCTTCTTTCTATTTCTCTCTCTCTTTTTTTTTTTTTCTTTGTAGGTGTTCATCCCTCTTTATATTTGTGTCATCCGATCCGATCCTCCCTTATTAATTCTACCAAAACCTAATTATTATACATGCTAATTAATTCAAAGTTTGTCTACATTTGTGTCATCAGATTCATAAACTCACGGTCTTAATAGAATATAACTATTACAACTTAATCTAATCAATTCACTAAATAAACACTAAGAAGTGGATAACACACGAGTTTTTGTCGGTGGAAAAAACCTAAACTAGGTTCCTTGGCTGGGTCGTGGGCCGAACAGATCTAGACTAGGTTCGTAGGCTTCTGGGTTATGGGCTACTTAGGTGTTGGGCTGGGCGGTGTGTACTTGGGCAGAAGATTTTGGTTGCGTTGGATCGAAGTCTAGGTCGGCTGAATCTAACGACTACGCGAACCAAAAGGGACCCAATGCTTGACCGCTTCTTCAACCCATCTTTTTTCGGACACGCCAGAGTTCACATAATAATATAGTAATATTGATAATATAATAATATAATCACAGAATTTGATTGGGTTTGCGACCTGCATGGAAATTGCTTTAACAACTTATCTTCCTACAAACTCAAATAGTTACGAAAAAAAAAAAAAAACATAGTACAAATAGATTATTTACCAAGTATTTTTGTAGTCTGTTGTCTTTCTTTTTTCAAGTGACGGTTGATTCACTAGTCAAGGTGGAGAGGGTTCGGTAGCTACATAATTATAGAGGAGTGTTTGTCCTAGAGTGTCAGCCCTTTGTAATTTTGGGGTTGTTCATGGTTTTGTTCCTGCATCTTGTCCCAAATTTTGTAATAGATTTTTAAACATTACTTTCGTTTAGTAAATGTTTTTTTTGTTTTCATCCTTTAAATATTGTGTTTGCTTTTAAATCTTACATACCATACTATACCATGGTGGAGGACTAGTTCTTAAAAATTGGTGTTAAAGACATACCTTAGGTTTAGCTATGTCAACGTCTCCCTAACATTGTCTTCGTAATAGTTCGTGTTTGAGTAAGAGAAGATTAGATACCAAGTAAGGCAACATCTCAATTAATATGAATTAGTATGAATGACACCTTTAAGTAAGTATTCAATTGTAATATTTTCTTTAAATTGCATGCTACACAAACTAAATCGATGTTATTGGAACTGAACTAGAATTAGAAAGATTTTAGCATGTGAGAATCAAAATACACACAAACTTACAACTTTATGACGAACAAGAAAACAATGAAATTACATTCGAAAAGCAGAGTCTTGGAGGTGTAAGAGAAAGGAATGTGGCATAACATACACACAATTGGCTTACAAAGACTAAAGTGCAGAGTTTATATTAATTAGATATATAAGTTTCAAGCATTGAAAAATGTTTCCCCCCTTTTTTAATAATTTTTTGAATGGAAGAACTCCCATCTTTTTGTTTCTCAAGGCAACCACCCTGGGAGGAAATTATTCATGCTTGGCCCAGCGGTGACCACTGTTAGCGGATCTGGGTGATACCTGCAAAGCAAATTAAGCATTTTATATATCAATCTAATGATTCTTGCCCTTGTGCTTTGCAGCTTAATCTTTCAAATCTTGAATCTCATGAAACTAATTAGTGTTAGAAATTGAAATATAGAGTACATAAGCTTAAGTTCAGAGTTGTGAAACACAAAGTAGAAGAAACAATAGTATTGTACATAAATATGTGATGTAGGTAGGAAGGAAATGTTGAGTTCTCAAACCTACATAATTGAGTTAATAAATAAATAAAAAGAATGGAAAAGGAAATATAGGATGAAAGATTGTGGACAGAATAGAAGAATATTTACCCAATTTGTAAGGTGGGTTCGGCATCTAAAAGATGGAAGAAGGCATCGGGTGGAGGGTGAGCTTGGTGTCTTCCATACATCATATCATCACCACTTTGGTTCAATTGGAGAGCATTTACTTGATACCCTTCTACTAACTGCAATCCAAAACTTAAACACCAATTACAAAACCACCAACATTTTCCATTTTTTTAAAAAAAAAAAAATTTAAAAAGATATACCCTTTGTTTCAGAGTCCTGTTTGCGTCGTTAAGAAGATGCTCCTGAAAGTGAAAGTTGAAACAAACAAAAGATAGTTAATTTAAATTGGTTAAGAAACATGAAAGAATAAGGAAAGTTGAAGGATGGAAATAGAATAGAAATACCTTACGTTGAAGATCGGTGAGTTGATCTAACATGTACTGAGTCTGAAAAAGGATTGAAAAGGAATTGTAAAAAAAAAAAAAAAGGTTTGAAGTTCGAAGCAGAAGAATTACCCTTGTTGACCTTATGTGCTTGAGTGACATATCAAGTTGCCTTTCAAGGGATTCAAGTTCTTTGCTACTCAACGGGCCAAGGTCTTCTCCCAAAAGGTTCCTGCTTAATTCAATTACCATTTACGTATGAGTAAAGATGGCAAGTAAAAGGAATATAAAATGTTGGGGTTATTATATTGCCTTTGGGATCGTTGCAGAGCTTCGTAGCGAGCTTTAAGCTTCAAATACTCCTGCTGGCTGCTCACTTCCTATATTTAACCCATCCATATACTCATTTTCATTTTCGGACACATTTTTCAAATTAGAAATTGAAAACATAAAATAATTAAATGTAAATGGATAACTGAAAAGTAAGAGTGATTACCAAGGCCTCTCTTGTGGACACATTCGGCTCTGGTGCTCCATAGTTGCATTTCTGGTATCTCTCTAATGTTTTCAGCATGCTGGATTTCACACATAATAATAATAATAATGATAATAATATAAACTAAAAACAATTAATTCAACTTTTAGAGGCATTTTCTATAATCTAACCTTACAAATATGAGTAGTTATTAGAACAAATAAATTACATATAATGAAGGATGTTTGTGTGAGTAAAGGTGAAAACCATTTGTGAGCTTCAAAATACAAAAAACAAAGATGGTTAATTGCATAAATCCATTTCTGGGTTCTGACATATACATAAGATTCTAATNTTTTTCCCAAAAAAAAAAAAAAAAAAAAAAAAGAAGAAAGTAAACCTAGTTATGATTAACTCTCGTTTGGGTTCACAAATACAATGGGAGGCAAAAAAAAACAAAACAAAACAAAAATCCCATCAAGGGAGAAAAAGAAAGAAACCAAACCCTAAATTAGTGGGAGAAAAAAAGAACCCTAATTTGAGAAATGCAAAGTATAAGAAAGCGTGAGGTTCAGCTTTAAATTGATCCATCCATCGCCCCATAGAGAAAGAAAGAAGGAGAAAGAAAGAAGGAGAAAGAAAGAAGGAGAAGCAAAGAAAAGGGGTTGAGAACAAAACCCTAATTTAATTTAAATTTAAATTTTGAAAAGGAAAAAGAAAAGAAGTTTGCATGAAAAGGGTTAAAAAGAAAGATGAGAGAGAAAAAAGGAAAAGGGAAAGTATGGGGGAAAATGGGATGCCAAAAATTTAGAAATAGAAGCGAAGGAGCAGATCTCAGGAATGCTTGGCTTGAAACTGCTTTAAAAAAAAAAAAAAAATGATTCGAGTAAACAGTGGTTGAAGTTAAGTTTGTTAAAAGTGATGACATACCTTGAACTACTGCAAAACTCGTAGAGTTTTCCTCTATTGGAGAAGATGATGAGAGCAACTTCGGCGTCGCACAGAACGGAGAGCTCATAAGCTTTCTTCAAAACCCCATTTCTCCGTTTAGCGAAGGTGACTTGCCTATTGATCTTGTTTTCTATTCTCTTCAGCTCTACTCTCCCTCTTCCCATCTTTTTTTCCTCTTTACCTGCTTAACCTATCCTATGTGCCTTTCTATTTATATTCTTCACAGCTTTCTCCAACCTCCTCTCTCTCTCACACACCAACTAAACTAACAACACAAACCCC